AACTTTGAAGAGCCCATTTTAAATGGGTCTTAAAGTTTTAAGTTTATCATAAATGGTTCTTAATGGGCTGAGTGTGGAACCCATTTCTAACCCATCCATTAAGCCCACAAACACTTTCCCCCTTTTTATAAAAATATTTTTTAAAAAAATCGAAATTATTTTTATTTTTTTCTCCTTTTCTTTTGGCCAAAAATAAAGGAAATAGGAAATAAAAAAGAAAAAGAAAAAGAAAAAAGAAAAAAGAAAAAATTCGATTTTAAAAAAATAAAAAAATATCAAAATCATTAAAGTGATTGAATGAAGTAAAATCAAATTAGATTTTAAATGCCAAATGTTGGAAAATATTTTCTAGTTCATTTTCAGGTTTCAGCCAAACATTGAAATTTTTTTTATTTTCTTGGAAAATGACTTCATGGAAAATATTTTATAAAAATGTTGCAGTTTTCACAAAACAAACAAAACCTCAATTTTAAAAACAAATTATAAAAATTGTTTACTAGCTTTTTATTGTATGAAAATGTTTTAGTAGTATAATTTTTTAAAAAAATCATAAGAAACAAGTTTTCCTATATTGAGTTAAATATAGAAGTGTTTTAGTAATATAGGTTAGGTCGGGTATGGGTCGGAATAGTTACATTACAAATAGATGGGTCATAAACGGGTTAATGAGTTAATTTTGGTCGGACTATTTGTGACCCGACCCGACCCACTCGTTTAACAGGTCTAGGGTCGAGTATAACTCATTAGATTTGCATTACATGGAAATAAGTCAAAACGGGTTAAATTGGTCTATTTTGATCGAACTATTTTTGATCCGACGCAAACCTGGCCCAATTCACCCGTTTGATAGGTATATCTCTCTTTTCTCTCGAGTTCAAGACCATCACTAGCTAAAATCTCTTCTTGTGAAATTAACTCATGGATCTGGCCCATTCGACAAGTAGACAATACCCTAATAGAAGCTACTCATATTTCTACTTATAGATTTTGATTTTCATGAGATACTACTTGGAAACCTTCAAATATATATCAACCCATATATTTAAATTATTTCAATCTTTTTCAACTGAAAATATATTTTTCTGGGGTGACTTTCTTTTTTTGTTTTTTATGTTTAAAGTGGCTCCAAACAGTTACCCAATAATTCTAACTACTTAAGTTCCTAACTCTTATGTAAAAGAGCACATTGCAACCACTTACATAGGTTCATTATATGTTCGTCTGAAATGGCTTTACATATAACTAGGTGACACACTCACCATCAGGCCATGAAATGATGAACCCATCTTTGTTCATCTCACTGTACATAAAGCAAACTCTAGATTCTTTTCAATCTTAAACATGAATAAGAAAAACTCTTAAAACTATATCGTCAATAATAAATCAAATCGCAGAGTACTTTATAAAATAGGCAAAAAGAGTAATTTTCATACAATCGCATAAGTGTCTCGTGAATTTCATTAATATACACAATTTCTTCTTGTGGTATTCTCTATGGATTACTACTATTAAAAATCTCAAACTGATACTCCATGGTACATATATCATAAACTAATTTTCGTCTCACAAAAAAAAATCTCAAATTGGTTCCCCATGATACATTTACCAAAAACTAAATTTTGTCATAAAAAAATTTCAAACTAATACCCCTAAGCCAAATCTACCCAATGTTAAAACGCATACGTGTCAATACATGTAGATTTTCAACGTCGCATCTGTCATTTTTTATGTTAGACCCCTCTTGCAGTCGTTTGTCACGAGTATTGACATGTAACATTTTAACGGGATATTGAGTTAATGTTGACGGATAGTAGATTTGGGTTAGGTGTACTAGTTTGAGTTTTTTTGTGAGACGAAAATTAGTTTGGGGTAAATGCATCATGAGTGCCAATTTGGGTATTTTTGGGAGACGAAAATTAGTTTAAGATAAATGTATCATGGAAGTATCATTTGACTAGTTTGGAATAAATGTGTCATGAGAATATCGGTTTGTGATTTTTAATTGCAGTAACGCATTGTCCTTTTACTAACATCCATCGAATAATGAGTCACATAGTTGGGAAGAAGGCCATTTTGCTTAATAAGTAACTATTAAATTCAGCAGCGTGGTGAATGACACAACATTCGAGTTGACCAGAACGTCTTGCTCATATCATGATACAAATACTTCACATTAACGTATCTTTTATTGTCAATTTGACAAAATTATGAGAAATCTCCGACAGAGTTGGGAAACGTATGAAATCATTTTAAATTATTCTAATACTAAAAGATTGTTCAAAGTAATGAATTATTCAATTATTTAATATGAAATAACTACAATTGTAAATGACTTAAGTTTTCAAAATGAGTATCTTGAGTAACCACACAAGTTAATATCCATCTTTATCCGAGCACACGGGCTGAGCAATTTCCAGATGGCATCATTGTAGGACCCCTATAGTAGATGTGTGATTCGTGGATGGACTAGGCTCATACTCAAATTCAAAAAGGGCAGGGAGTGATTTTTGGGACAAGATGGCTCGGACAAGATGAGGCTCCTAACAATTTTCTAGGATGGTATAGGGGTCAGGAATAGATCGGACCACACATTAAATAGGGGAGTGCCACCGGCGACGAGAGTGAACAGTGGCAAGAATGTTGGTGGTTCTAGTGCGGGAGTTTGTGAGTTGTGAAATTCTAAGTTTCACATCGGATGGCTATGCCTTGTGATATTATTCAAAGCAAACATCCACCTCCAATAAGAGAATTTCATTTTAGAATATGTCCCAAGTGATTGGAGCTTGTCATTACAATAACATCTTGACTAGTAAAGTTTAAATTAGAATCAATAGCTAAACACGAAGAGACGTGTGTCCATTGACATGGAATAAAGCATAGCAAAACGGTCATTTTGCTACATCTACATTATTTTTTAAATTACATATATCAAGAGATGTTGGGACAAGCACAATATTATCTACTTTGGTCGCAGCCCATTCATAGGCGCACGACTATAAAAAGTAGTATGCTAGTTTGAGGTTATGCACGATTTATCTATTGGCATAAACAATTGAAATACAAGTAATGTGGAATAAAAAACATATCTAACACTGGAGAGAGGGGGGGACACTTGACCCGTTTAAAGTTCAGTACATATGAGGTTAGGCTCTATCTAGCCAGGACCACCTTCATTACGAGATAAAAGGTTCTATTTAGCTGTCATGTCGAAAAACCGAATCATTATTCTTGAAGTCCTCTCTAGAATATTTATTATTCAATGCACCGTAACCATGACGCAAGCAACAATAATGCACGCGCTACCTTTTTTTTTTTTATAACACAAGGTGTATAAAATCTATCGACTTGATTATTGTATACAGATGCGCACAAAACACCCCACTGGCGTGCATTAGTACCTATTCTATTTTTGCCAATCTTTTGTTAAAAAATGAACGTGTCTAATCTCTATGTAGGCCTCAAAACATTATGCCAACTTGTCCTTTTCAGAAAGATGAATTACTCATCCATGCGGTGCTCTAGTAGCTAGCTCGCTAGCTAGGTTGGCATATAATTTGAGATCTGTTCCTGGTTTTGGCATCCACATTCCTGGGCATGTCTCCATGGATCATTGGGGAGAGAGCTGACTAATGTTCCTGTTGGTTGTCCATATTTTTTTCTTGCTTGATCAAGACAAATGTTTCTTCCAACTCATAGAAAGTGTTTCACAGTAGTCAAGTGACTCGTGGTCGATGCTTTTCTGGGGTTCCACCTATTGTCCCCCACTCCCTTCTTCAACACATTAAACAGATTCTTGATGCATCTTCCCATGTGCAGGAAGCAGATCAACGCCTATTGTCTCTAAAACCAGAAACCTTAAACAGTGCACATGATACTAAAAAGTGGGATATACCATGCTTCTTTTTAGGAAACCCTAACCTTAATGCGCTGCAGTTTGGCATTCTCGCGCCACCCCAAGAAGCATGTCTTGGTTTTCTCAGAGCTTCCTCTTTTTTATAATGGCAATCATGAATAACTAGGCAGTCAGTGTATGGTGATTGGATACTCCAAAGTTGTTGGTTCAAACCCCAACTCAAATAGATTTAATTAACAGTCTCTCTTTGATCAATATCTAGTAAATTGCAACAATAAAATAGCATGTTGATAAGTCCAAAATAACCACATCTATATGTACTGAGTATGCTCAAATTTAAAAATTGTTAGGACCCAAGTTTCAGAACAAGTCTGGCCTGAAGGAGAATTAAAAAACTTATAAAACCCAATTCCTCAATTGAGATATAAGTTGCTGAAACTGCAGGACTAGAATGCCATTCATTGGTAATTCAATTGAAATACATGAATGGAGCATTAGTTGTTTCTTTCGTTCTTGAATCCATTGGGAATGAAATGTGTGAGCTTATGAGCTGAGCATCATTACTTTTAAGGATATCCAATGAATGGAATACACAAATTTCTCTCCACTTTCTATCTCTTCTCTCTTTTCTTCGCTTCTCTTCTCACCTTACTCTGATTCCCTTTTCTTTTCACCTTATTCTGATTATCATCTTGATTCTCATCTCATTATCAATTGGGATCATTTCACAACACCAGGTGGAAAGTAAGAAAAGGGGAATCCGAGTCACAGTAAGTTACGATAACTGATCACTGAAAGTCTAGAATATCACCTCTATTATTTACCTCTATTATGGACAAACTTTTCCAAATTTCCATGATACTTTTATATGTTTATCAGATAAACACATGAAAGCTGATTCGCTAACCTCGTCTTTCCTCTTCCGGTGAACTGTGAACCAGTAAATCCTCTCATCTCCCTGTGCTTTCCTCGAATTGAAATTAGGAAATCAAGAGTTCCATTTAGAATTCTGATTTCAGACTGCAAGTGCTGAAATTTGCGACTTGATTACGAATATTCCAGTGAAGTAGGTGAACACCACCCTAATAAACTCTTGGCTGAAGGCTATACAGATAAATCTGGAAAACAGAAACCACACTAAAGCGTCTGAAAATAAAAAGCCCAGACATGTAAAATTACCTCCACGAGTGTCATCATGATTAAAGCTAGAAAATTGATACATATCAGTTGCCCTAATACCTTCCCTTGTATCCTCAACATGGCCTTGAGATTGATCTATCACTCCTTTCATCAGTTTAAAAGTTTGCCGAGGTGAAGGTCGAAGCCTGATTGTTCCTAAATTGTTGAGTATTTCTATGTGACAAAGATTGCTCAACACCCTTGGATTTGCTACTGTTGAGTGCTGTTCATTACCTTGTCTTGATTCGCTTTTTCGCCTTCTAATTCCCTATATCTATGCAAATACCTTCTTAGCAGACCAGCATAATCGTCAAAACCCAGCGTCTCCATAGCGCTGCAAATATCATCGCCATTCACGGTCTTCCTCCTCTCCTTCCGGCACTTCTCGGACGCTTCGCTGGTCACAAAGCCGATGAACTCTGAGACACATTCTTGCATCGTTTCTTTCGCTTCCTTTGAGATTTTTGCATTGGGAGGGAGGATTTGCTTCATGATCCGCCCCACGTTGGCTATTGGGAGCAACCTGTCTTGCTCCTTGATGCTTCCATCGTCGGCACCGTTGTTATCTACCATTTCTAGCGGTTCACACACGAAAGTACAAGATCCTCGTTGAATTTGTACTCTGTCTTCCAATGTCAAAGGGCTTTCTTCTAAGGTATACAAATGCACAAAGTAGGCGTCCGACTTAATATATGAATTTAATTTATGATTTCATGTCTTGTCCATTTTGGCATGTGATGACGACTGAACAGCGCGACACAAATGGTGGGTCTTTCGGCACAAGCTCAATCTACTGGCCAGATAAACATGGGTAGACACCATGGAGTGGAAAATTCTAATTATATAGTTATTGTGATTCCATGGCTTATTGGTTGTCTTTGCTCTGTAAGTCATAGTGAAAAAAAGAAAAATAGCAATGTACTTTTTTCAGTGTATTTTACACCTTTTAGTCCTCGAATTATAAGTGGAGTATGAGACAGAATGTAGAGTCAATTTCTTAAGTTTTAGGCTTCAAATATTCTTGTCAATTTGGTGAGTTTTGAGGTGGTACCCCCAGCTTTCGTCCTTGTTTCTCTACAAATGAGCTTATTCCGGCTAAGTAACTTGATTAGTGATTAAAGCTTAAGTTGCTGATTATTTGTAATCCACCCAAGTTTTAGATTTCATTCACTAATCTCTACTATTCTATTGTATAATCTGTTTAACCAGTAAGTTATCAATTGCGTGGCTTTTACTCTAGCTTGTGTCATAGAATACTGCATCGAAACCATAAGAACACTTTAAATTGCATGAAATTTAGAGGGTTTTGGGGTTTGAATCCTTGGGATTGTGGAGCTAATGACAGTTAGATCAGCATCAAGTGAAACTCAAGTGTCTCCTTTATATTGAGAAGATATGGCAAGTCAAAGGGGGTCTTCAGTTATATAAACTCTTCAGTCAAAGGGGGTCTTCAATTAATTGGGTGACCGCTTAATAGTTTGTGTTCCTTTCTGAGTCGAAATCATGTGATTTCTAGATAGAAAAATCTATGGTGTGAATTGAAGGGCACACGAATATTTGTTGTTACCATCTCTCACTATCAGTTACTTCTTGGTTCACATGATAAGGGATGCTCTAGTACTTCTTTATCTGTTCTAAATGATATCTCGCAGCAACATTGCCTTCTCATTTACAGCAAAGCCTTATTGCTCCCGTTATGTATGAAGAGATTAAGAAGGTTTTGGGGTCCATGAATGGCGATAAGCACTAGGATCAGATGGCTTTTTGTTCTCATCTGACACTTTTGCTTGGATTGTTATTATGTTGGAAACAGATTCCTAAACATAATACAAAAATTGCGGAAAAATGTGCCCATTCTACGCTTGAATCACCGATCGTTCGAAGTATATTACGTGAAATGAACGTACCTCTTTTACCACAGATTAAATGCACTTATCACAGCCTCGAGAGAGAGAACAATCCTTGAATTGTTGAACAAAGCCCCTTCTTCTTTGTCCTTTAGTGAGAATGAGTTTTCTGATAATAAAAATGCAACCCACACACACATTCTTACGTGTGTTCTCACTTTTTGTTTCTAGACAATAACTGCCAAGTGCAGTTATTTTCTTTCATGGGCTGGGTTAGCCCATCATGGACGGCCCATCTTCACAAAGAAAATTCATCATCTCCCACTCGCACATGGTGGGCTAAACATTAACTCTCTCTTCTTTGCAATATTCATACTAGCAAATAATCCGTGCGACCAGCATACTTCGAGAGCTCGTTGCGATGCATCTGTTAGGAATACATAGCAGCTCAAAATTGGGTACAACGTTTTCCGAGTAGATATAGTATGCAGTCCCCTAGATCAATCAGTCACATTTATATCCCCTTTGATCTCTTTTAGTATCTCGTATATTGTATTCACAACTATGATTTACTTAAAATCATAATTGGTCGACCTGCGAATACAAACATAGAATGTGACATCATAAATAAATTGATCTTCCTCTTTTCTTAAACTTCTCTATTTCAGTCCAGCACGCTTTTCTAGAAATGCCCCATTAGATCGAATCGTTCATGACCATTGGCAACACTCTAAAATAGCGAACACTGAATAAAAACTTTGAGAATAAGTCAGAGTCGTGAGGGTACTAATGAGGAACTCTGTATCCTCAAGAGTCTCACAGGGCATAAAGTTGAGATCAAGAACTTTTGCCACTCTTATCGGTCGTCTCATGCATACGTAGTATGAAATACGTATTACAGTATTAACTCCTTTCCCATGGAGCGTATGTTTTTACATTCAATACCGTACAGATGATAGTTCAGACATACTCAATATCTAAACTTGAGTTCACGTATCTACTCTCCTAAAGAATCCATTAGAACTCACATCTGGCATCAAAGACAGATAAAGTAAAATATGTGGGCTATTTTACTTTCGGACATAGTAAATATTGTGTCCTCATCTTAATATTCAGTTAAGGCAACACTTGTAATTTAAGCTTGAGCTCTTAATTATCGCCCAGATAATAAGCTTAAAAAAAATTGTCTCATCTCTATTTATCGCACAGTAAATAGAGGTGATTACCCGAGTAAGTGGGCTAATCTTATCTGTCAGACATACTTTCTCGATATAATGCACTAAGCATTGAGATGCATAAATATTAAATAAATTCATAGGCATTAATAATGAGAGAGCAACTTCATTAAATGTGAACACTCAGGGAAAAATACAATATTCAGTACATCACTTTCTACGCAGTCCCAGAGATTTTACATGACTATAGAAAACATCTCTTGGAATTGGCTTCGTCATAGGATCTGCTATCATTCTATGCGTAGATATGTACTGCAAGTTCACATCTTTTCGTGCAATCATATCCTTGACAAAGTTATACTTGGTATCTATATGTTTGGTCTTGCCATGATATTTCGGATCCTTGGTGTATGCTATCGCTGCTTGACTATCACTATTGACTAACAACGAGTTTTCAGCATTCTTAGCAACACCTAAATGATCCAAAAATCTCTTAAGCCAAACACCTTCTTGTACTGCTCCTGACAACGCCACGAACTCAGCTTCCATCGTGGACAATGCTATACATGTTTGTTTCTTACTGCTCCAAGATATGGCGCCATTATTCAGTAAGTAAACAAAACCAGAGGTAGATTTCCTTTCATCTAAATCTCCTCCCCAATCAGCATCTGAGTAGTCTTCAAGTCGCAGATCCTTGCCTTGATAACTCAGTGAATAATTAGCAGTACCCTTTAGATACCTCATGATTCTTTTTACGGCTTTTCAATGTGCTTGACCTGGATTGGATTGGTACTTACTTACCATCCCAACTGCAAAACATATGTCAGGTCTTGTACACATCATAGCGTACATTAAACTTCCAATAGCACTAGCATAAGGAACACGTTTCATTTGTTCCTTCTCTTGTGGAGTCTTAGGACACAACCTATGGCTCAATCCTTCACCTTTTGCAATAGGAGTATCCATGGGTTTACAGTCTTGCATACAAAATCGTTCAAGAACTTTATTTATATAAGTCTCTTGCGAAAGAGACAATAATCTCTTGGAACGATCTCTTCAAATCTTAACTCCAAGAATATATGCAGCCTCACCCATATCTTTCATCTCAAAATTGGACGATAACCAACTCTTAATAGTATTAACCAACTCCATATTGCTTCCGGCAATCAGTATATCATCAACATATAATGATAAAATCACAAATTGATCTTTGGATCTTTTGATATACACACAATGATCTTCATCAATCATTGTAAAATCAAACGCTACTATGGCATTATGAAAACGTATTTACCATTGTCTCGAAGACTGCTTAAGGCCATATATCGATCTTAGAAGTCGACATACTTTTTGTTCTTGGCCTTTCATAATGAAGCCTACTGGCTGCTCCATGTAAATTTCTTCATCTAATTCTCCATTTAGAAAAGCAGTCTTTACATCCATTTGATGTAATTCAAGATCCATGCTTGTCACTATTGCCAGAATAAGGCGAATTGAGGTAAATCTCACTACAGGAGAGAAAGTTTCTTCATAATCAATTCCTTCCTGTTGATTATACCCTTTCGCCACTAGGCGAGCCTTATATCTTTCTATTGAGCCATCGAATTTGCGTTTTATTTTGAGAACCCATTTATTCCCAATAGCTTTGCGTCCTTCTGGAAGATCAACCAGTTCCCAAACATGGTTTGACTTCATTGACTCCATTTCTTCTTTCATTGCAATCATCCTTTTTTCTTTGTTAGGGCAATTTAGAGCCTCATTTACATTCCTTGGCTCGTCTTCATTTTGTGGAGCGATCATGAAAGTTTCCCCTTAAATGTCAAAACGTCGTCAGGGAATACTTTTGCGACTTGTTTGCCGTATGGGAGATTGTACACGTGGTATATCATTCTCTATTATGCTCCCACTTGGATTAGATAATGACGGAATCGTCTCATCAAAAGGTTGCAAATGAGATTGAGTCGAATTTAATTCCTCACTTCTCACATTGCTTCCACTTGGACGAACTTTATCGATTTCACTATCAGGATCCAAGATTTCAAATAGTGAGTAGTTCTCACCTATTTCGCCCTTCTTAGGAAACTCATTATCTAAGAATGTGATATCTCGTGATTCAAATTCAGTTATACTCCCACTTTCTTGCTCACCTATTAATACATATCCTTTTGAGGTTTCCGAATACCTTATGAAGATACTCTTCTTACCTCTAGGACCTAATTTTCCATACTTATGAGAAGATTCATGTGTATAAGCGGCACAGCCCCAAGGTTTCAGAAAACTCAAATCGGGTTTTCTACTTGTCCATAACTCATACGGAGTGGAAATAACTGATTTAGAAGGGACACGGTTAAGTATGTAGGCAGCAGTTAATAAAGCGTCACCCCAAAAGGTGATAGGTAAGTTAGCCTGCGCCATCATGGACCTAACCATTTCTAGTAGGGTTCTGTTTCTCCTTTCCACAACACCATTTTGTTGAGGAGTATAGGGAATAGACAACTGTCTTTCTATTCCCTTTTCATCACACAAATTTCTGAACTCATCAGATAGATATTCTCGACCTCGATCGGATCTCAATACTTTTATTTTCTTATCTAATTGATTTTCCACCAAGTTCATAAATAT